ATTTGGGCTAATTTATTCATTAAATTTGAGGTGGCTGGAAAACATGGCTGCAACAGAGAGAAAATGTCTTCACACACAGTAAATATAAAGTTGGACTATTTAATTAATCTGTGACTGTGTTTGTGCACGTGCATGCATGTTGGCCTGAGCTCACCAACCCGTACGCATGTGAGTGGCAGGCTGGCGGCATATCGCTGATGCTCCTACGCCATTTCCCATCAATCCTCAGCGAGGTCACGCAGAGTCCAAAAAACTCTCATCAGCAAAACAAATCACCGGCCTTCTGCCGCTCTTTGATGAAAGGCGTCTCTCTACACTGAGAAACTGAGCAATTTTCAAAGCAGATGAAAGAGGTGAATGCTGTGATTTCAGCAGCCCCGAGGCCTGATCTCCATCTACAGATCCAAATAAAGATCCAGGAGGTCTGAGATAAAGGGGAGCACAGCGGCTCTGCCAAAACTTCAAACGGCGCTGACACTTTTAATTAAGCTAATCTGCGACGAGGCTGCTTATGGAAACTATGTAAATGAGGATTATTTAAAAACTATTAACTGTGGGACAATGGCACTGTCAATGTTTGGGATTTTTTTTTTTTGGAAATAAAAATTACATCCTGAAAAGTTTCAAGCAATGTTTCAAAAACAAAAGATAACTCTCTTGAAAACATTTCATAAGTGAAAGTGGTCTTTAGATGACTCATAACTTTTACCAGGGGCCGTAATGTGCTTTTTTCCTCTCAAGCCAGAAATCATTTTGTAAGAGCAGGTCTCATTTCTTCAAATGGAGTATATCTCGCGGTGGAATGAAACACTTCGATTCACTTATTAAATAACAGAGTTCACCACAGAGGAAGGTGATAAAAATTTACTGCTAAGGACAGGCCTCTAGGCTCAGTTCCTCCAGAGGAGATGGCTCTGAAAACATGTTTGAAAATCTAAGTTTTATGGAAAAGAGCTTGCGATCTCACGACTCTACCTGGAAGTCTGGGTTCATGCTTTTTTAAGTCTGATAGGAAGTGGTAAATAAGAGTCATTCCTGGTGAGGTGTTACCCCGGAGGGCAGATTTTTACCTCCCAGCACAGGGGCACGCAGCAGGTAGCGAACGCACCCTAACCCCCTGTTCTTGCAACTGAGTACGAGATCATTCGCACATCAGCAAGCAGCACACCAGGAGTGCGTGTGCCCTGCACATGTGGTTGAATGTGTGTTTGCAGCGCTTCCATTACACGGGCGTAATAGGAAACAGCTTGAGTTTTTCAGAAGCTCAGCAGGTAAATGTTCAGGAAAAAAACCCAAAAAAAACACCTTCACTCAAATGCTTAAAACTGCCAGCGTCGACATTTATTGTCTTCTGTTCAACCTGCACCTCGACTCGCACATGTATCGCACTTACGGCAACGCTGCGAGCTAACACCTTCAAGAGTCTATCAGTCAATTTGAACCACAAGACGGGAGATGTAGCGTGTTGCTAGGAGACAGAAGTTGCCATATTTTGTCAAAGCGTTGCTCTGTGATTCTCAGGGTGGGCGGTGGGTGGGTGGGGTGGGGGGGACCAGAGGGTGACGAGGTGACGAGGTGACGAGGCGACGGCGCGGCACATTTTTAGAGTTGCTGTCAAACTGTTTCATGTCACCTTGTCAGCGTTAACACCTCAAAGCCATCGCTGGTGCTTTGACACGTTAATTATGGGCAAACCCAAACAAATGAGGCAGGCGACATCATCTACAACACAAAGCAATCTCTCCCACACACACACACAGATGTGTGTTCTCAACAGGGAAACAGAGTTGTCAGGCGAAGAGAATCAGTGGCAAGCCTGAGGAAACCATGGATGAACCTACCTGAGAGAATTTTCTTCTTTTTTTTTGATGAACTGCCTGCTTGGGTGTCTTTCAGCACTTTCTGACAACTTAATTTTACACACAGTCTTAATTGTTGAGCATCTATTTACAGTTCTTATATAAGCATGTGTTCTACTCTACAACAGCAGAGAGAAGTAACAAAAAAGGTTTGAAGTTTATTATCATTATTATTATTATTATGATTATTCATCTTTAATTTTTCAGATTTTTGGTCCATTTGAACTAATAAGCAATAAATTGATTTACAATTAATACATTTAGATTGTGAATTAACCACATGAAATTACATTAATCTCTGTAGTCAGAGGCTGAAAACACCTGTTCAACCCTAGTTAGCATTTAGAAGGACTAGTTTATCTGGTGTTATTTTTTCATATCTCATTTTATGATTTAAGTTTTTATTTATGTGGTAACAAACTGAACTGACTGACTTTGTAAGTCAGTATAGCAACTGCTAAAAACAATGTTAAGGTGGGAAAAGACCAAACAATTAGTGAAACCAAGACTAGACAACCCAAACATTATAACTCGACAGTCAGCAAGGAGCACATAATGGATGACTGAGGACAACAGATTCAGGTCACTAGAAAAACCCCCAAAATCCCATGAAAACACAAAATCTACTGTGCTGTTGTACCAACTTCTTAACTTCTACTGCAACTACTGCAGAAAACGCAAAAAAATGCATGTTCCCAATCAGAACAACAGGAGACAATGTGATGACATATGATTAAAATCCTTCAACGCCACAAACAACATCAACTCACCCAGATGAGGAGAACAGATGTGACGCCCCAAATCATAAATATAATCAACACAATAAAGTGAAGAACAGCATTATTCCCGCCTTCAGATAGAAAACACAGGTCCAACATGCTCCAGAGACATCATGTCAAAGTCCACCACCAACAGTCAGACTCGCCCCTTCCTCTACTCTGAGGCCTGAGGCAGTAAAAGAGTCAGTAACCTGTTTTTCTGGAGCGGACTGATGATCCTCTCAGCTGTTTGGTCCGTGTGTTTTACTGAAGAATCTCAGACACACCTATAGCTTGTTTTCCTGGTGCAGGTTACAGAGCCTGTCTGTGCTCTTGGTGGGTGGGACACACCACAGTAAACTCCCCCCCAGCTGAAGACTCTTACACCAGAGAAACCTCAGTGGGAGTCAGTGGAGACAAAATGAAGTTTGAAATGTATTATTTTATATATTCTGCTTTGGCCAAATTAAAAAAAAAAAAAAAAAAAAAAAAAAAACACAAAGCAAAGGAGTAAATATTTAAAACAATTTCATGGTTTAGTTTAGGCCCCTTAGTTCAAATGAAAGGAAATTTGAATACTAAATGATAAAGTCATATTTTAAATAACAGAGTGCTTCCAACACTGTGACAGTTTGGCACTGGCTCAATATTAAAGTTACTCTCCAAACATGTTTTAAACTCTGTAAAAAATAAAAAAATACTCCGCTATCATTAACAGTTTGTTTAATGTGATTTTCCCACCAGAAAAACTGTGGCTGGAAGCACATCTAGTCTTACTTCCTCATTGAGAAATTCTGGATCAGTCATAAATACACGTTGACTGCTTATTTCACTCATAATATGTCTTGTATTATATTAAAAAACACCATATGGACATGTTAACAAGGTTGTCATGGGAGGGGTTCTTTAAAACAAATATCATATGAATCATTTTCATGGGGAAACGCAGCATTAAAAGACAAAGAATTACAATTAAAAAAAAATATGAAAATACATGCAAACAAACTGAACAGACGTGAACATGTTTTCTTCCTCAAATCTTTTGCTGTGAAGGTCGTCCTCATATCAATAAAAACACACGACTATACTCTCACATGTTACATTACACACTGTGCAACTGTCCCTGACCCTTCACTAACAGGCACATGATGGCTTCCATATTGTTCAATAAGGAGTTTAACCTTCATGCATTAGTTTCCTCTCCAGTGTGACTCATATTTAAATGGCGGATTATTTCCCTTTTGGACTGGCGTTTTCCCCCATTAGCTCTGATCATGTCGGAACCCCACTAAACCCTATCCATAACAGCTACTTCCCTTTTTAACGCAATCAAGATTTGAAATGCCAATTAAACAGGGCGTATCATTCTGAATAACATGAAAGGACATGAGGAGGTTGGAGTACCACAACAAGGCTGTAGGCTGATGGAGTGTGTGCTGTTGCCAGGCAATGGGAAGCTGAGAAAAAAAAAAAAAATCTGTCTTTCGATCAAAACAATAGTAACTATTAAAAGCAGATACTGGAAAACGTGCAGCATCCTCTATCAGTGAGAGGCTGTGTGTTCAGTAATCCATACCGTGTAAACAGTCTGACTGCAGTCATTAAAGGGACACAGGAATCAGCAGAGAGAGAGAGAGTAAACAATTACCCTGCTTAGTTTTTCGATCTAGGATCAGCAGCATAAAGACGGTGTAAGCAGACTTTATCTGAGCACACGACACTAACACAAAACATGATTAATATGGCCAGTGTGTGCGGCGCAAGCTCAATCTGAGGACAGAAGAGATGTCTGGATATTTTATAGCCTCACGATTGGATTAGATGGTGGTTCATGTTAATCCCAATTTTTGACTTTCACGCGTCTGTGATGAAAAAAGTGAAATTAATTTACCATCACCGTCATTTATCAACATAACTCACAGATTGATGTGTGAACTTTGAATATGCAGCATGGGAGAGAAATGTGCCGCTTTGACACTTGCTCGAGGATTTTCGGTTTGGCAACAACAACAACAACAAGAACAACAACAGGTTGTTTTGCTTCCAAATCCTCACAGAGACATGTAATGTGATTTCCAGCTCAGCTTCTTTTCTTCTCTCTCTCTCACTCTCTGTTTTCTTTGTAAAAACCAGAATGTGTCAATTTGGACGGACGGAAAATCCGAAATGACAGTTCAGTCTCAGGAGAAGAAAAAAAAAAAAAAAGCTGCAGTCTGGGCTCTGAATGTTTAACTAATTTAAATTTTGACATCATCTCATCAGAGCGGGAGAAACAGGAGCTGCAGCGTCAGTGTGTCAACAGGAAGACATTTCTTAGAAATACGATTTCCCTGCAATATTATATAATTAGACTTTGACTATTTGGGTTTGTTTGCCGTCTTACCAGAGTCTGATGGAGGTCTTCTCTGTGCGATCAGAGGGTAGACCGGTCCAGGATGTGTTGGCTTGTTGCAGGGGCTGGAGGTGAGGGGGGAAGCTGCTCCTCTCTGCCTTAAATAAGAAGAAGAAGAAGAAGGAGAAGAAGAAGAAGGAGAATATTCATTCAACTTTGCTAGTTGAGCCACTGGTAAGTCGTTAGGAGATGATCAACACTATTCGCTTCATCTGCGAGAGGTCGTCATGTTTTCGGTCATCACTGCGTATGAGGAATCTGGAGCTGAGAGGACGTCGAGCTCTCCATCATGTCAGCTGACATTTTTTCTTTTTCTGAACATGTTCGTACAGTAGATGATGTGATGGTTTTAGGGCTTTGGAGTAGTTTAAATCCACTTTTGACTGAACTCGGCTGTCTGTGTGAAGAATGTTACCAATGACCTCTGCTGTTAAGTAATTAGTAAAGGAGCACAATTACTTACAAAGTAATATATTATACCTACACAAAACAGTAGCAGAACTATAAGTTTTCTAATAGATCAAATGCCAAAACTGAAAACCTCGTCAAAACCCCTCCGTCCTCTACCTGCTCAGCAGCAGAACAGATAAGACTCAGCTAGAGACCGGCCGGTGAACACAGTGGAGCGTTTAGCAGCTGCTTCATGCCTTCATCTCCAGCTGGGTGGACTTTTCTAATGGTCTCCTCACTGGTGTTAACCATGAGGAATCGGTCAGAACGCTGCTGCCACATCACTCCTGTTCTTAAGTCTTTACACTGACTTCCAATTACTACTTATAGACTTTAAAGTGCTGCTTCTAGATAATAAATTGGTTTCAGGTCAAAATAAATTTCTGATCTTGAAGAACAGAAACCCAGTATGGCTGTTGGATCGATTTTAATTTTGGTTTTTATTGCTTATTGCTTTTCTTTGCCTTATGTAAAACACTCTGGTATAAACAAAGCTGTCTTGCCAAAAGAGACAGATATTTCCCTCCTGACACAAACACCGCCCCCGAGTGAAAGTTGATGTCGCTCTGTAACTGCCGGCTGTGTAAAATACAAACCTGCCTGCTAACATGTTGACCATAAACACTTAAAAAAGGCGATGATACTGTATGTCAATGTTGTGCTCACAGCTTGTTGACGCTGCCCCCAAGTGGCCGAAAAGATCAGTTATTATGACGCACAGGACAACGCTTCAAAACAACAGGAAGTGAAGACATGCTTTCAGTCGGGATTGATTGATTGAACTTGATTAAATGAAATAAAGCCAAGTGGCCCATTGGCTCGACCTGATTACATCAGCCAATAATGTTGAGTCATTGGTCGACTCCACCCTCCTGTAAAACTACTTGGAGAAACCAATAGCCGTTTTTTTGTGCGTTGATTCAGAATTTGTAAAGATGGAGAGTCACAATCCATCGGAGACTCGTTGATTTTTCTTAATTATCAATGAGGAATCAACGCTCCATAGACTGCTCCATCGTTATCAATAAATGGTGCTTTTTTAGCAGCAGCTGGCTGCAGGCGTTGTGGGGTAAACGCTCCTCGTGTCCCAGTTTGACTGTCCTTTAAAAGGAAGCTCACTTTTTTCGCTGATAATTCCAACTTTTAAGCAAGTTAAAATACTTCATTATTATAATCCTAAATCCTTTGAGTATAAACCAATTAGGAATATTTAATCCCTTTATTTAACATGCAAATTGAAATCTTAAAAACAAGGAAAAGTGAGCAAACAGCAGCACAGATAGCAGACATCATTCAGTAACAGCTGTAGTGTCCCTGGAAGGAGACGGGGATGGAGGACGTGTTGCTAAAGACATTTAAAAAAAGGACCTTGAAATAATGCACATTACACAGGCACAATTAGAGGCTATTTTTCAGCAGGATTAAATGGCAAGCTTAATGATAAAAGGCTGTAAACCAAGGTAAAGTAAGCAGCAGCATCTTCTGTGCTTTCTGTAAGAAGCAGAGCCAAGAAGTGAGGCTGCCGGCTGCCGGCCCACCTGCTACTACAAGCTCTGAGTTTGAGAAATGGCCGTGATGTCTTCCATCGGCTATTTTAACACCCTCCCCTCCCCAACCACCACCACCACCTCCTCCTCCTCCTCCTCCTCCTCCTCCTCCTCCTGCCTCCCGCCTTCTCCCTGCTCATCTCTTTCAGTGAGATAGACAGCGGCGAGGCTGAGGACGGGTTTGACACTCAGCCAAGGAGAGGAATATTTCACCGAGACTGATGTCAGCGCGGACACCTCCGGCCGGTGAAAACACAAACGGGTCGATGTGCTGATTGGCATGTAGCTCCAGAGTCACGGGTCAGGTCTCCCTCTGACAAATCCATCAGGACGGACCACATACTGACACTGTAGGTGGGGGAGCTGTCAGCCTCCTGCTAATTTACATTTCTGTAGCGGCAACCTCACAGTCTTTGTACGGCCACCTGTTAATTTGAATTTTAAACATGGATTTCTTTTCCTCGAGAGAGTCCTATCAAACAAAGTGAATACAGAGATAATGTCTCACCTTTTATCAGCGACAGCAGCTGTTCTCAGTCCTACTCAGAACTGGTGAAATACGAGAAGCTAGAGTTTATTTTTAAGAAACATTCTTCACATTTTTAGCAGAGCAGCTTGACTCTAGGATTATTTCACAATATCATCTTCAGCTGCAATGAGATTCAGATTTGAATTCAGCTTCTTCCAGCTCCAGTTGTGAGGATTTGAGGCTTTTTTTTTTCCCCCCACACACGATAGCAAACTGAATATTGTTGTGTTTTCGACTGTTGGTCGAACAAAACAAGACATATGACAACAGGTATTTTCACTGTTTACTGTCCTTTAATGGACAAACTGATTAACCGATTACTCAATAATAAAAAGAGTAGTGAGTTTCAGCTTTAACATCCTCCAACAATTGGATGGGTCAGCGTTGGACAACAGCCCAAATCGATCAAATGAACTTGCCTCACAATTTTCAATCCAATTAATGGTCTGAATCATAAAAATCAAAGCGACAACAGCTACAACACTCATTAAAAACTAATCATAATAACGTTCAACCAACTAATCCATCAACAGTTCAGTCTAGGAGTCCTAAATCCCACACGTTCATGCACGGGCCGCAGCTATAGCATGTGTTTTGAATGGTTCAGCGATTCACAGTCAATAGGAAATGATGTCATGTTGCAAGTCACAGCTTTTATGGTGCAGCGGAAGTTCGAATTAATCGCAATAAACTCATGGAATATCATGCACAGGTGAATTAACGCAACTGTTTTGACGCCATTCCATCATCAGTCTAAGCTGACCGAATCCAAATGGGAAAAAAAATATAAAGTTTTCCACGGCGGTCCAGGCGAAAGACAAAGAGCTGTGGGTGTAAACACGTGGAAACTCTCACCATATGCCCTCAGCTTCTGCACTAACACACCAACACAGCCTTAAAGCCTCTGCTCTCTCTCCAGAGGAAAACTGAAGTGAAAACACACCGGGGTGGTTGTGAAATAAGAAGCCAGTCCTCAGTGATGTATGGGGACTGGCAGCTTTGCAAGCTCTTTATAAAGGAAAAAAAAAAAAAAAGCAACACAGTTCTCTTGGCTTGCTAATTCCCACTTTAAGGACAGCTTTAAGGACGTAGTTTCTCTTCCAGTCATCCTCCAGAAAAAGTGTCCCCAGATGTTGCCAAATAAATAGGCTTTGATATTCCTACATGCCTTATCCCTGGCTGGCAAGCTCGCAGTCTTTAAAGGGAGCGCGGCGTCGGTGCGTCTGACAGCTGAGCGGGACCCTGTGATGCCGGTAACGACATGAGGGATGACAACAGAAGCTCCGACATCAAAGCCCTGCAGCTCTCTCGCACGCATACATATACAGGAGAAATTTGCAGCAGATTACCGAGGCCAGTTATTCATCAGTGCTTACAAGAGCTGGGTTACAAGTCAAAAGAGACACACACACATACTCACACAGTGCAGCTCTGAAACGACTCCTGCTGCTCATTTGTACATGGAGAAGAAAAAGAGTGCGCCTCTCAGCCTCCTATCGACACTCACTTAAGATAATGGGCCCTGTTGGGAAGGATATAGATTGGAAAACGAATCTCTGCGCTTGTGTTCACCGGCGAACGGGCGGGCGAGGCAGATACAGGCCTTTAGGAAGGGACTCTCCAGCACCCGCGCTGGCAATTTGTCAGGATTAAAGCTGGATGGTGTCTGTCATTGTGTGTGTGTGTGTGTGTGTGCATGGCCGTCACAGCGTCAGGTGTTGTTCATTACCCCCCCCCCCCCCCGAGGTTGTCAGGGAAGCGCAGCACTGATCTGCGAGCACGCTGAGGTCATTTGAGGCTGTGCTTTCATCCCGAGCTCCAGCACAAGCTCGTGTGCAGATCCTGACTGAGGCAGCATTGTTTTCATTTTCTGTTTATCTGCTGATTAGAGTTTCCAGTTCATTTTTTGCTTTCTAAAAATGACTGTCAAGCCAAGAGTCCAAAATCCAATTACATATTCAATTTACAGTCATATAAAAAAAACTGAGAAAAACAGCAAATCCTCACATCTGAGAAGCTGGAAACGCAATTTTTCTTGATAAATGATCAATTTATCAATTTCATGTTGATATAATTTAGTCTTTAAAGGGTCAGTTTTAGTGGTGAAACTATTGTAAGTCACTCAACAGTTTTAACGAAGCACTGGCTGGTTAAAGCTTCTCTAATGTGAGGATTTGATATCTTCTGTTCTGATCTACATCACTGTCAACTGAATATCTGGATATTCTTTTGTTTTTTTTACTCTTGGTGGAACGAAGCAGTAATTCTGAAGACGTCACCATGGACCTTAAGTCCGCTTATCCAAATGGCAAAGACCATTTCCCACTCTCTCCCAGTGGTGTCTTAGCATGCAGATAGTTTTAGTTTCAGCTGCTGAGGTTTTCAGATCTGCGACTTCCGCTGCCCCTGAATGAAATTTCATTCGTGATGGTCAAGCGGCGACCTTCAGGGCTGAAGAATGAAGCCAACATTGAAGTGCAAAAAGAAAAACTGCAGTTCCTTGAATGACCACTTGAGGGCTGGCTCCAAAAGTGAGTCAATCCCCTAGACTCCCCCACAGCAGAAATAAACA